AAGCAGAAAAATAACACTAGTTTAATTTCACAGAGATAATGAAAGTACATGACAAATTTGAGATTCTGCAGGTCATTCATTCTACATGGCAGGATACAGGGTGACCTGATTGAAGACAACAGGAAAAGTAGTTATGAACCAGAGTATGAGTCTTTTAACCAGGGAAGAAGTTTAGACATTTTCCTGAAAACTACCATGCACCTCATGCAATCTTCAACCTTACCAATTGCACATTAGCCATACTGACTTCCTTCAGTTCTCTAAGTGGTACCACGACATCAAATAAAAAGATGAGTCAGCAAGAACCAAGCAGACAAGAAAATTACCCCACAGTATGTTTCAGCAGGGAGAATTTCAGAAAAGATAGTGGCAGATTCCACAAGATGAAGTAAGTTAATTCAGAAGTTCCCAGATGTTCACCACGCCCTTCATATCTCAAGAATTTACTGTGGGAAACCTCGGACAAAATAAATAGCTAGTAGTTTATTTGTTAAGCAGTTAATTCCATGCTAATTAATAAATCCTAACAACTTACTTGAAAATATAATACACATAAATTAAAATAAATAACACAGTTTTTAAAGTTAAATAATAATTACTAATGACTTGTGCTTCTTGGACAACACTATACAATTTTCAACAATAGCCATGGCAGCAGAAAAAAGCCCTCCTTAATTTGGTAACAAAGGGATTCCACAGCCTGCCTATGTGCTCTGCTCTCACACATCCTATTTAACTTTACCCCAAACTCATACCCACCTAAATATGCACACAGAATTCACAATCACTAAGCCCAGTGTTCTCTCACTTAAGGGAAAGACATACTAGGGAAAAACACCCCAGCTAACTACCGTAATAGTCATTGAATGAATATATATATATATATGTATATTCATAAATATATCTGCAATATATTAATATTATATTATAATATACAATACATATATATATTATATACATATATGTATGTATATACTTTATATATATATATATATAAATAAGAATCACTAGACATTTGAGGGAAAATTAAAAAAAGAACTAGATGAATAAACACGATTTGGGGCAGAATAGTTTTTTAAAAAGTACCAATTAGAATTCTCAATAATCACAATCATATTACCTAATAAAATAATCACAGGCTGCTACAGCAAGAAAAAAATGGGCTCATAAAAATTTAAATACAATTTCAGAACAAAAATGCATGTACAGGACAATAGAATGGACATGCTGAAATCTCAAATTAGTTATGATCTATAGATCAAAATCCAGGAAGTATCTTAGAGGACAGAATTAAAAACAGAGAAATGGAAAACAGAAAAAGTTCTAAGAAATATGAGGATATATCAAAAAGTTCTAAAACTATCCCACAGTAATTCCAGTAGGAGAGAACAAAGATTCCAAAACATGGTGGGCCTAAGAACAATTAAAGATAGGTTTTTTAAGTAGTGTAATAATATTAGGCCAGAGTTAGAGAAAAATATGTATGTTTTGGTTGAAAAGTCTTGCTAAGTGCTGTGCAGAAATAATGACCAAAGAGAAAATCACACTGAGACACAGTTGATTAAATCTGCAGAACTCCAAAAATAAAGATGGAGATGCACTAGGAAGAAATGTAAGGGGCCACAGGCAAAGTGAATAAAGGCCTGAGGGCTCTTGCAGACTGACTAGACTTAAATTAATACTAGTACTGAACCATACTGGAGAGTTTAGACACTTAGGCAAGTTAGTTGCCTTCTCTGTGTCTCAGTTTACTCATCTATAAAATTCGGATGCACAGTGATATTACTCCCCTCTGGTTGTGTTTTCAAGACATTTAAATGGGTGACCTGAAGCATACAAATTGATTAAAATCGTACCTGGCACACAGAATTCATTAAAATGAGTAGCATTGTTGGATGTTTTGATAAAAGAAGACAATGTTTTCAAAGTTCTGAGGGGAAAATATTTTGAATTTAGGATTCTACATCCAAATAGTCATTCAATCCACTGAGAGGGGAAAAAAAGACAAGTATTACTAAACATTTAAGAAGTCAGAAATATCACCAATGACCTATCTTAAATGATAACTTTTTTAAAGAGATGTTATCAAAAATTAGGAAAAAAAGATCAAGAATGAGGACAATTAATAAATAGTAAGACCACATATGATCCAGAAAAATATTTAAAGGAAGCTATAAAGAAAAGAGGTAACTTAATACTTTGAATTTTAAAAAGTACCAATTTCAAACAGTAGTCTTAAAGATATAAAATTACATTTCCCAGCCAAACATATACCCTGCTTATATAATGAATAATGTGTACGTCATCATAATTTTGTAAGCACTAGTCACTGATTTTCAATTTTTCACTCAACATAGAAATAGATTACAGACATTAAAGTCATAAAATACTGTAAATTATGATAAAACCTGACAACATAAAAATAATATAAATTGGGTGGTTCAGAAAAGGATGAATTCTACAAAAAGAAGGGTGTATACTAAGTTCCTCATTTTTCATAGCAGTAAGTCCAGAGAAAGCATCTAAAGATAATATATCAAAAATTAAGGGTTTCTGGAATCAAGAAGTTAACTTGTCTTTCTTGTAAGCATGGCACCATTGAGTTACCAAATAATAGAAATGGGGAAGTTTCATTTCCATTAGCTGGAGGTTAATCCAGGTAATAAACCGAGACAGAATGATAGAATATCACCGTTTCACAATTTCTAATGAATTAATAGATCTTGGTCATTTTAAGTGATAACAAAAATAGGGGTAAATATCTGCTTCCATAAAGAACAACTTCTCTGTCACTGGAATTCTCTAGCTAAGAAAAAAGAAAGTTTCACCTGAATTTAATCAAAGCTTTAGTAGCAACGACTAATGGACAAGAAAGAACATGTTAGATGGTACCAAGAGGACTAGGAGAATCTCTACAAAACAAAAACACACAAACACCTTAACAAATAAATTAAAAGAGAATGAAAACAAATTACAGCTAATTTAAAGACACATCAACCAATCACAATACTGTCAGAACTTAACCTGGATTCCGATTTCAATAATCTTAAAAAGGAAGAAGGGAGAAAAGAGGAATCCTGGGTAATGTATTGGAGGAGACACAGTCCTATCCTGAGAACAATCCTACGGAATGGAAAAAGTCAAGTTCCCAAGGCATTGTCTGCAGAAGAGCTGATCAGCAGTGGGCAGAATTCTAAGATGACTCCGAAGACTCCAGCCACCCTGGTGGACGCATTGGTATAATAACCTACCCTGGAGTGTGGGCAGGACCTGCGGATTTCATGCACAGCCTCTCCGAGATTAGGTTATATAATGTAAAACTGTTTTAGCTGGGGAGATTCTCCTGCTGGCTGTGTAGATACAAACCCCTTGTTGTGAGGGAGCCCAGTGGCTAGGAACCAAAGGTGGGTTCTAAGGCTGAGCGTAACCCCCAGCCAACAGCCAGCAGGAAAACAGTCACCCTCAGTGCCATAGCTGTGAGGAACTGGATTGTTCCAACAACCTGAATGAGCACCAGAGCCTGGACAAGGCTCAGCCCCCGCAGATGCTCCATCTCAGCCTGGTGAGATTCTAAGGAAAGGACTCAGTGAGCCTGGGTCTGGACTTCTGATTCAGGGAAACTGAACTAGTGAATTTTCTGTTGACTTAAGCCACTAAATTTGTGATAATTTGTTATGGAGCAATAGGAAGTGAATAGACGCCCCCTGACCATAAATACATCATTTTAACAGTGTATGAGAAACACGTTCTATTGTGTTAAGGCTCTTAAGTGTAAGGGTGCTGCACAGGCACCACTGGAGAGACTGATCCGTGCCGCTCCCCATTCCGCCAAGTGTGCAGTTAGGCCTGCGGTTCTGCGCTGAGGACGCTGCTGCCCCTCGACCCCTCGTTCACATTTCAGGTTTTATCGCTGCGCCTAGACCCGACGTCCCTTGATCCTCAGACCGGCCGCCCAGCCTGGAAGAGGACCCCTAAAACTCCTGCACGCCCTGCCGTCGCTTCAGACCGCGGACCTCGAGCTCCTCACGCGCAGCCCTTCGTCTCCACGCCCTGACCCCAGGCCCGCAGGAGTCCCATCGCCAAGGCATCCCGCACCCCGCCGGACGCGCGCCCCAGAGCCGCTCCGGCCACCTCCCCGTGCGGAGAGGGAACTAGAGCCCCCGGGGGCACCCCCACTCTGGCTACCTCTGCACGGGGACACGGACTAGAGCCTCGGGGGCATCCCTGTTCTGGGCTCCTCCCCTTGGGGACAGAGGCTTAGAGCCCCGGGGTACATCCCCACTCCGACCGCCCCTAAGGACGCCCCCTTTCAGGCGCCGGGGCACCTGCCGCTCCTCACCTCAGACTCGACAGGCATCTGCTGCGTCCGCAGAGCAGCCGGCGGGGACCAGAGTGGCGGCGGGGACGGGACGCGGGGAGGGAAAGCTTGCGGCGCAGGGCGGGGAGGTTGCGCTGAGCTGTTTCAGTTTCCTTTCCTTCCCCTCTTGTCTCGCTTGAGTTTCGTTTCGGCTCAGAAACCGGGTGCGGCGGTCCGGCGAGCGCGTTCGCATAGTTCGCGGAGTCCGCCCAGGGCGGTGGAATTGGAGTGCGGACAGAGAGCGAGGGTGGGGACACGCGCGCAGGGACCCGGGAGGCGCGCCCCACGCCGAGCGCGGGGACGCGCAGGGGGCTGCGCCTGAAGCCCCGCGCGAGGGGCCGCCGCTCTACCTCGGCAACCCGAGGGCACCGCGCCGGGCGACCGCGGCCGCCGCTCTTCCCCGCCAGCCGCTGGCAGCTTCCGTGGGCCACGAAGCGCTACTGAAAATGAATTGGAAATCGACAAGCCCACCTTTGGTTCTTCCAGACGTGATATTCCTTCCACCACTTGTCTGCCTGCTGACGTTGCGCTTGGGTCCCTGCAGAAGCCTGCCTCCCTTTCCTGTTCGCGCCCTTGTGCGAAGGCCGGGGGTGCCCAAACCCAGTGCAGCTCCGGAGGCGGGAGCCCGGGACAGCGTGGAGGTGGGCAATCTTGGCAGCAGAGAGGAGCAACCCGCTGCTTGTCTGAACGGGAGAAGAGCAGGTGTGCAGGCGCTGGCCCAGAGAGGACAGAGCAGAGCCCGGCCCTAAATGCCAGGGGCAGCTTGATAAAGGAAAAGGTGAGGATGGGTTTATTTATTTATTTGCAGATGTGTGACGTGTTTGTTGATGAAACTGAGCAAGAGAATAAAAGAACTTGGAACCTGACACATGACTGGTCTAAAGTTCTACTATATTCATATGGTCCTGCACTAACATCTCTAAGGGACTTGCTTGTGGTAAACTGAATACTGTCCCCCACCACGACACACACACACTGGCAGGAGGCAATGTCCTGATACCTATGAACATGTTAACTTCCACAGGAGAAGGTACTTTACAGGATGAACTAATTTAAGGATTTGAGATGAGGTTATACTGGATTACCAAGGTGGGTTCAAAAGTCCTTATGCACCATGCTGCTGGCTTCGAAGATGGAGGGAGGGGTCGCATTCCAAGGAGTCAGGTGGTAGATGGAAGCTGGTGAAGGCAAGGACACAGATTCTCTTGTAGAGCCTCTAGAAGGCAGCAGCCCTGTTGACACCTCGATTTTTTAACCCAATGACACTGATTCTGGACTTCTAACCTTTGCAACTATAAAATAAATTTTGTTGTTTTAAGCCACTGAGTTTGCTGGTATTACAGTAGCAATAGGAAACTAATACACTATTGTAAATTAATACAGTAAGAAACTGATAACATACTTGTTAGAAGAAGAAATAATGGATTGTGACATAATAAGGTACCTGTTGAGGCTACTCTGTGCTAAGCTATATGCTGATACTTTTACATTTATTACTTTAATTCTCACAACTTCATAAATTGTAGACTATTAATTTTGTTATTTTATGCATGAGGTAAATAAGGCTTAGAAAGATAACACAGCTAGTAAATGGTGCCAAAATTTAAAACATGGTCTAACCCAAGGGTCTATCTACAATCTTTTCTATTACACGATCTCACAGTCTACATGCTTCACATTCTACAACTGAAAGTCTTTCACTAATAAACAAATGATTTCATTTTGCCTCTTTTGTTGAATTATTTAGATGTTAAGGATTTTAGTACATATAATGTTTTATGGTTGTTTTGATTTTTAATGACTTTAGATTTATCGAGTGAGAACTTAATAAACCTTGACCCAATCCTTTTCAGTTTTCCACCCCAGTGTATTCAAACAGCACACAAATCTCTTGTCTAGTTTTTCTTTGACCCCCATGGCCACACCCTAGGCTGTTCAGAATCTTGATAATCACACACTCTGTTTCTACTTTGCATATCCCTCCCTTTTACTCTCTGCTCTACCTCTTGGACTCCTGAATCTCTACTTTGTGGGATGAAGTCAGTGAGTCAACACACTTCAACCTTCCCCTAATTAGTATGTTCAACTGCTTGACCCTATTGACTTTCTTCCACACTTTTGCCTGCGATTTGATAATCTGGATCAATTTAAATTTTTTTTCTTTTTTACCTCTGGACACCGAGGGAAAGGACTGAGTTTGTGTCCCATGAAACTTCATGAACATAGCTGATGCCTTCTTTATTTTCACCCCAACCTTTTATTTTACAATGATGTACTTTATATTCTCAAGTCCCTTGAGATGATAGAACATGTCTTTTTTCAGTTCTCTCTTACTTTATGATAACTCCATATACCGTCCTTATTTAGAGTATGGGAATACACCAGATACCACCCCCCAACCCCCCGCAACTCAGCCCTCAGGATCTGGACTCAAACACCTCAGTCCATTATTCCTCAGTCTATGTGTCTTCAACTTCACTCTGTCAGCTCAAGTGTACTGTTCACCCCACTAATAGAACTCAAGCCACTTCCATTCTAAAACACACCTGCTGTTTCATCCCTTCTCTTTTTGGCAGTACCCTTTGGAGGTCCATGTTCATTGTCTGCAGTTCTTCACCCTTCTCCAAATCCTCAAGCCGCTTTAGTGCAGATCTGCCCTAAACTGCTCTGCCAGAGACCACCTCAATAATCCCAGTGAACTTGAGTTCCTAATATTTATGGCATCTAGACCTCTTCTCTCTCCAGTCTTCCAAAGGCTAGAGCAAGCCTTACCATTTCTTATCTGGATTACTGAAACAGCCTATCGCTTCTGACTCCAGTCAGTGCTTAGATTCCATTTTCTACCCTGCTACCACTTAGCATGTAAAGCTGAGCACATCAAGTCTGTTAAAAAACACTTCAACGCTTCCTCATTGCTTTTTGATAAAATCTTCCTATTAGTAGTTTCTCTCTTTTTCGAACACCTCCCAACTGTTGACTACAGCTCCTTTCATTGCACTGGTGAGTGAGCAATTTCCACTCTGAGTTACGGGGATGGCCAAGCACATGACAACTGACATTGTACAGATGTTACTTAACAGCTTATCAGTCACATACACTCAGAGCCCAGGGGAAGAGAAGTTGGCACACCAGGAGGGCCACAGAGAACTTGAACTCAGGAGCAATCAAGTGGGACTGTGGGAGGTGGACTTTGCAATAACACAGAGGGTGGGGTGACCCCAGTTCAGGTAGGAAGACATGATTGCTGGTTCATGTAATTTTTCTGGCTATCAAGGAAGTGAATACTGTTAGGTAAATGCAGCTGGTGTGGCTGATGGAGTAACAAGCCAGATAGGGAGCCTCTCCTGTGGGGTGGGGCCTATCTATTCTCACCAGATAGGACCCAGAAAGCAGATGTGCCCCCTAGGAGGAATTCATGGAGCCTGGGGAGGGTCAAAGATGTCAAAGCAATGATGGGATTCAGGACATGTATGCCAAAACATGGCGCCTTAGCCTGTTGAATATTGTAGCTGAAGGAGTCTGAAGAACCAGCAGAAGCAGGATGGTCATTCTGACCTCCCACCTCCCCCTTCTGCCCTGAAAGCAGGAACTAAATTTACCATGTGAAAGGTACCTCCCACTGCCCCAACACCAGAAGGAAGGAAGGCATTCTTGCTTCCAGAGACAGAATTTGGAGCCAGCAAGGCTGCATAAACTAGTCTTGGACCTTCTTCACCATTTACCACCCCAGGATCAAATCCCTTGGCTTGTCAATTCTTCACATATTTATGGTTTCTTTGTCTAAAAGCTATAAAAGCTTCCTACTCTAGTCACTTCCTGTACTGGGTCTTCATTCTCTTGCAAAGGTTCCTGTGTACATGTAAAAATTCTACAAAATGTGTATATACTTCTGTTAATCTGTCTTATGTCAGTTTAGTTCTTAGGCCCAGTCAGGACCCCAGAACGGTAGAGGAGAATTTTTCCTCCCCTCAGCAACACATGAAATTTAGGGCCTTACAATACAATGCTTTGACATCAATTTAAACCTTGGTGATGAGTGAGATTTTTAAGGAGTAGGAGAAATGCCTTCCTAAAAGCAAAGTAGGTACTTGACCAGAAGGGAGAGAACCAAATGGAGAATTCCAGGCTTATAGGGTATTGTTTCCAAGACCCAAAGCAAAATGGCCAATTGAGTAAATAGGGTCATAGGCTTAGTATCCATATAAGCCTCTATTTCTAGGAGATCCCTGTATGTGCTCAATAAATGCTACTCTAACAGTGTTCTTCAGAGCTGCAAAGGGCAGTACTCGTGTCAGGAGTCTGTGGGTGACTTATGGTCATCACAGGCGGTCCAGAGGCTCCAGGCATCTGAGAGGAGGTTGTTAAGGCCTCTGCAGGGAACTCTGAGGGCACTCGTGAGAGTGCTTACTGATTTCAGTTTGGACATATTCCATAGCATTTTGTTGCAGACGCCCCATTTAAGCTGGATGATCTGCAATTTACAGCATCACTGAGATTAAGTAAAATGAGTAAATGCAAAATATGTTGCCTCCAGAACCCAAAAAGAATGATACTTAGGCTTGGACTTGTAGTAATATGTGGGTGCTGAAGAGGACAAAAGCTGGGTCTTGACATTCCCGAAGACGGACAGCCCTTGGTTCACCAAATAATTTTCAGTAATTTCATCAGGGTGGCAGGGAGTACTGTGTGTGGAACCATGGCCCATTGGCTTTTTGTAAGTCACTTTGTTAGTAGTTATATGTCCTGAATGAGCATTTCAAGTGAGTAAATGAATCTCTGAGGAGAATACACTGGATGAAATATCAAACACATGCCTCTGAAGAAAGGTGTATGTACTTAAGTTCTGTCAGTTATTCCATGCTTACAGACTGGAAGAATTAACACTGTTAAAATGACCATATCATCTAAACCAATCTACATATTTAATGTAATCCCTATCAAAATGGCAATGGAATTTTTCACAGAAATAGAGCAGATAACTCTAAAATATGTATTGCACCACAAAATAGCCTTAATAGCTAAAGCAATCTTGAGAAAGAACAAACCTACTTCATGTTTGCAAATTTCAAACTATACTACAAAGCTATAGTAATCAAAACAGTATGGTACAGGTACCAAAAAAGAGACATAGATCAATAGGACAGAAAGGAAAGCCCAGAAGTAAACTCATATTTATATGGTCAAATGATATATGACAAAGTAATATATCCAGTGGATATATTTTATACAGTGGAGAAAAGAGAGTCTTTTAAATAAATGGTGTTGGAAAACTGGTCAGCTACATGCAAAACAGTGAAATCAGATTACTCTTTTACACAATACACAAGTATAAACTTGAGGTGATATCTCATTGTGGTTTTGATTTGCATTTCCCTGGTGATTACCATTGTGGAATATTTTTTCTTGGGCCTGTTGACCATCTGTGCTTCTTTAGAAAAATATCTGTTTAGGTCCTCCGCCCATTCCTTAATTGGATTACTTGTTTTTTAGGTGTTGAGGCATATGAGTTCTTTATATATTTTGATGTTGCTACTTATTTAATAAATATGATACATAGATAAATATGACATAGATAAATCATTTATGCATCTATTCTCCCATACTGCACATTGCCTATTTGTTTTGTTGGTGTCCTTTTCTGTGCAGAAGCTTTTTAGTTAGAGGAAGTCCCACTTGTTTATTTTTGCTCCTCGCCTGGGGAGATGTGTCCAGAAAAAAATTGCTCATGATTATGTTTTCTTCTAAGAGTTTCATGATTTCAGGTCTTACATTTAGATATTTAATCCAGTTTCAGTTTACTTTTGTGTCTGGAGTAAGACAATAATCAAGTTACATTCTCTTGCATGTAGCTGTCCAGTTTTCCCAACACTATTTAATGAAGAGACTGTCTCTTATTCACGGCTATTTTATCATATATTAATTGACCATATATGAATGTTTTTTTTCTGGGCTCTCTATTCTATTCTATTTATCTATGGGTCTGTTCTTGTGCCAGTACAAAATTGTTTTGATTACTGTAGGTTTGTGGTATAGTTTGAAATCCACAATGAGATATCACTTCACACCAGTTAGAATGGCCACTATCCAAATGACAAAAAGTAATAAGTGTTGGTGAGAATGTGGAGAAAACGGAGCACTCTTACATTGTTGGTAGAAATGTAATTCAGTGCAACCATTATGGAAAGCAGTATGGAGGGCCCTCAAAAAACTAAAAATAGAAATATTATATGACCCAGTGGTTCCTCTTGTAGTTTTCCCAAAGTAAACAAAATCTCTGATTCAAAAAGATATATTCATCCCTATGTTTAGGGGTGAATACTGCCACATTATGTACAATAGTCAAGGAAGCAGCCAAAGTGTCCATCAGTAGGTGAATAGATAAAGAAGATGTGATACATAACACAATGGAATATTATTTAGCCATATAAAAGAAAAAAATCCTGCCACTTACAACAACATAGATGGCTCTAGAAGGTATTATGCCAGTGAAATAAGCCAGGCAGATAAAGACAAATACCATATTATTTTGCTTATATGTGGAGTCTAAGAACAAAACAAAACAAATGAACAAAATAGCAGTAGACTCAAAGACACTGAGAAGTGACTGCTGCTTACCATGGGTCACTGTTGAGACCTATGTCGGGGAAAAAAATATTCCTTTCAAAATATGATTGCTCATTGGCAATGCACCTGGTCCCCCAAGAGCTCTGATGGAGCCACACAGTAAGATTACTGCTGTTTTCATGCTTCTAACACAACATCCCATTCTGCCCATGGATCAAGGAGTAATTTTGCTTTCTACATCTTATTATTTAGCAAATATATTTAATAAGGCTATAACTGTCTTAGTGGTTCCTCTGGTGGACCTGGGCAAAGTAAATTTAAAATTTTAAAGGGTTCACCATTCTAGATGCCATTAAGAACATTCATGATTCACGAGAAAATAAGTGTCAACATTAACCGGAATTTGGATGAGGCTGAGCACAGCCCTCAGGGATGATGTGATGGCCTCCAAGGCTTCAGTGGAGGGAACAACTGCAAATGTGGTAGAAATAGCGAGAGTACTAGAATTTGAAGTGGAGCCTGGAGATCTGACTTAATTGCTGCAGTCGTATGATTAAGCTGTAACTGATGGGAGGTTGCTTCATATGCATGAGTAAAAACATGGTTCCTTGAGATGGAATCTACTGCTGATGAAGATGCTGTGAAGATTGTTGAAATGACAACAAATGATTTAGATTACATAACTTAATAGTTTGAGAGGATGGGGTCCAGTTTTAAAAGTTCTGTGGTGCTTTCAAAATGCTTTCAAACAGCATCACATGATACGAGAAATTGTTCATGAAAGGAAGAGTCGATCAGTGCTATAAACTTCATTCTTGTCTTATTTTAAGGAATTGCCACAGCCACCCCAGCTTTCAGCAAGCACGACCCCGATCAGTCAGCAGCCATCAACACTGACGCAAGACTCTCCACCAGCAAAAAGCTGAAAGCTCAGGTGGTGGTTAGCATTTTCAGCAATACATGATTTTAATTATGTACATTATTTTTTAGACATATTGCATACTCAAATGATTACAGTACAGTATAAAAATTACTTCTATATGCATTGGGAAACCTAAAAATTTATTTGAATCACTTTTGTGTGGTATTCACTTTACGGCAGTGGCCCATAACTGAACTCACAATATCTCCACAGTATGCCTGTACTAGAATTAAGTGGTAATGTTTCACTAAATTATAGTATTAGAGTATTCTGAATCTGAATGTATACTTACCTTTACCAATATGTTGTATATTTTCATATGTGTTCATGTTCCCAACTAGTATGTTTTCATTTCAGCTTGAAGAACCCCTTTTACTATGTCTTGTGAGGCAGGTCTAGTTAGGAAGAATTTCACCAGTTTTTGTTTGCCCAGGAAAGTCTTTATCTCTACTTCTGAAGGCCTTCTTTGCCAGACAGAATTCTTGGTTGGGATATTTTTCTCTTATAACTTTGAATATATCATCCCACCCTATCCTGGTCTTTAAGGTTTCTACAAAACAGCTGATCACCTATGGCGGTCCCCTTGCAAGTTACAAACTTTTTTCTCTTTCTGCTTTAAAATTTTCCCTCTGTCTTTGATTTTGACAGTGATTATAAGGTGTCTTTGAGATAATCTCTTTAACTTGACTTTATTTTGTGATCTATGAGCTTCTTCATGTACTTGGATATCTCAATCTCTCTATTGTTCGAAGGAATTCTGTCATTTTTTTTTCTTAAAAAAAACTGCCTTCCCTCTTTTCTTTCTCTTCTCATTCTGGAATTGCACTAATTTGCAGATTGCTTCTTTGATGTTATCCTCTAAATCATGTAGTCTTCTTCTGCTCAATTGCATTTTTTTCTTTATTCTTGTCAGACTAGAAAATTTCAAAATTCCTGTCTTCTATCTCCCAGATTATTTCTTCTACTTGACCCATTCTGATGTTCCCCGTTGCATTTTTCATTTCACTCATTGTATTCTGCCATTGCAGAATTTCTATTTGGTTATTTTAATAATTTCTGTCTGTTAAACTTCTCATTTTGTTTGAGTGTTCTTTACTGGTTTTAGTGAGTTTTTCTTTTTGTGTTTCTGTAGCTCATTGGGTGTTTCTAAAACAGTTATTTTTAATTCTTTATCGGCTAAATTACAGATCTCCATGTCTTTGGAGTCAAATACTGGAAAATTATTGTGATCCTTTGATGCTACCATATTTCCTTGGTATTTCATGTTCCTTAAAGTTTTGCATTCCTGTCTTCACATTTGATGTAGCAGTAATGTCCTCCAATGTTATTAAGTGGCCTTTGGTAGAGTAATACCTACATCTCCCCTGCTAGGCACTCTGAGGTTTTCTTAAACCTGTGAATACATCTGATCTGCACTTTTTGCTGCGTCTTGTGGTAGAATTGTTAAGCTTGTATGCCTTCTCTTTCACCTGCAAAAACCAGGCCAGGAGCTGACATCCCCCCTTGGTTTTCCCAAAGGTGGCCGTGAAGCCGGAGTTTGCGGCCTCTTCCTTGCTGGACATTCAGGCTGCCTTCTCCACGTGCTCACCAGCCATCTGTCAAAGCTTGTTCTTGTCAACACCTTGGGGAACACAGGGATCTGTGTGGGCGTGTGTGGGTGGGTAGGTGGCACACTGAGCACTGGGGGTGCCTGTTGGTCACTTTGGGGGATCCATGGGTGTGGCATTCCCAGAAGTTGAGAGTAAGCTTCTTGATGGAGCCCACAGCATCACTGGTATGATCCTCATCCTTGATTTCATACACTCTAAGGGGCCTGTCTGCTGTTCTCACAGGCTCTACCTGCCCCTTAGTCACACAGCTCATGAGTTATTACTGTGGATGGGGTAAGAGAGAAATAAGCCTCTTTGGCAGCGCCCCACACAGCTAGCAAACCCACGTGCTCATTCACACGCACTCACATTTCCCCACAAGAGAAATTATGGACCTAGAAGCCGGCAAGCTGTGCTGCCTCAGGGAAGGGGTGGCATGATGAAGCCAGGTTGCTCCTCCTACCGTCTCCTACGCATCCAAACTTGTATTTTCTCCTCCAGGGATGTGCTCCATCTCATCCTCTGGAAACCCGGAGTTCCATGAATGCACTTTCCTTGGTGGATGATTGTCTAAGACACTTTTCCAGAGGTTCCTGGACTGTGGCCACTACACAGTCCACACTGGTACCAAGTTCTGTTTACTGATGCACAGGTGGGTAAGATTTCTTCCAGAAACCCCTGGGGAATGGTGCTGGACCTCACAGCACCCCAAAGGCACTGTGTCTATGGTTGCATCCATCACTCTTCCATACACATTAAATATATACAGTCTTATTTGTCTGTTATACCTCAGTAATGTGGGGGGGAATGATGTAATCCTTTAAAATTCTGAGGGAATTTCTTTCAACTAATCATTGTATGCCTCAGAAAATATCAATCAAGTGTAATGGCGAGAAAAGCACATATTCTTTCTTACAAAGACAAAAAATTTACCTCCTGTGCCCTCTTTCTCAAGAAGATGTTGTAAGATCCACTCTACATAGGAGGAAACATGCGGTTCGGGAAGGACCTGCTGGAAGGTTGTGACGGGGGCGCCCAGGAGGACACGTACTGAGTTGGCCCAAGAGCCACAGACACCAGTTTGAACAGGCAGACTGAGGATTCCTCAAGGGCCACGTGTAGGGAAAAATGGAACTGACAGAATATCTACTATGTGCAATCATTTATAAATGAACTACTGACAGACACTGACAAAACCAGTGGGGGAAAAAAAAAAGATGGCGAACAAAAACTTACACAAATGAAAGCAAAGAAGAAACTCAGGAAAAGCCAAGAGCATAAGGAAAGGGGGAAAGTGCTGTTACCTGAGCCTCAGAAGAAAAGCCTCTAACATCATATGCTGAACTAATGCAAACCCGGGCCTGACGGGACCCCAGATTGCAAAATAAATATTTATTAAGATTGGAGTGAGAAGAAAGAAAGCTAAAATAATCATTTGTAATAACATAAAATCAACAATGTCTAAAATGGATAAATAAGAAACAGCAGTTTGATACGATTCCCAAAATGATGTTTAAAGATGAGTACAAGAAAACAGGTATAAAGGCTAAGAGTGCTCAGCTCTGTGGAGCCGGAAGAGGGAAGGAGAGAGAAAGGGGTGAGGCTGTACACGTGTGTTTTTTTTGTGGTGTTAATTACACTTGACTCTTTAAAATGTGTTCTGTGTTTTTATTTAAAAATTTTTAAATATAAAAATTTTTATTTAAAATACTTCATAGCCCTCTTAAGTGTTATTAATAACCAGTAGGTGGCACTATTTTATATCTTTTAGCCTGACCTTCCTAAATCCTGCCTCTGCTTTTTCCTTATTCACTTAAGCACATTAATCGTATAGCATTTTTTTTTTCCCACAAGAAATGAGAAATCCAAACTGACTAATCTCTTCTGAGAATATCATTTCTGTACATTCTGGGCAACCAAACTGAAATGATCAAATTATCTAACACAGTAAGTTTACTCTGATATTTTTATTTTGTAAAGCAAAGATGAATTCACTAGCTCTTCTCTTTGTCATAAATCTTTGCTTTCAAAGAAGACCAGCAAATTTTCACAGAGCCAGCTTATTTGTCTGCTATCCTGGGTGTTATTAAAGATGTATCAGAGTTTGAAAGTATAAATGTTATTGGTTATGACAATATAATTTGGAATCTAAATAGATACTGATTACAGAAAGCAAGGTTAGAGATTAGTTGATTCTACCAAATTCCACCTCCACTAGCTCTACGTGACCCTAGAAAGTAAATCTTGAAGCAGCAGAAAAGATTAATTTATTGAGCAATGGTTCCTGAATGCAGCGTCACCTATAATTGCCTTACCCATGCCCTGTCTTGTCTGGCACCTAGGATTTGATCGGTCTCTCACCCTCCCCTCTCCTTGCACTTTCTCTCCAATCTTGGCATTCATCTCTCCTACTTCCACCTGTCAACCTGTCTACCCAGCAACTACCTGACAGCTTTCTCTTATTGCTTCCTCTGCACCCACTCACATCACCCTCTGCCTTACCAATCTCACCTTCGCTTAGCAAACCGTGTTTTTCCAGCATTTCATCTCTCTGCTGGGACCCTTTTGATGATTTTATTCTATCTTATTTTTACTCCCCATTGGTACTTACAATTACAGCAAGGATTAGAGTTAAAGCCAGGGTCTTCCACATTTTCCTTCTGTTATCCCTCTGAGCCAGTTGTGTGCTCTCTCTTTTATCAACATATAATATACATATATGTTAGTAACATCATCTCAACTCCCCCTTAAGGAGAGATGACATGTACACAGTACTGTGAAAATAGTTAAGGCTATGTAATTGACTCACCACAGTATTTACAACAAACTGTGGTAAGTATAGAAACCAAAGAAAAGCAAAGTGGGTGGGTTTTGGTTTTGTTTGTTTGTTTGTTTTTTGTTGTTTTTTTTTCTGATACTGAATAATTTAGACTGGTCAATAGCAGAGTTGTTTTTATTTCAGTTTTAAGATGAAACAAGTAAATGGTGAGACCCAAGTAGAAGATGAATGAACTTGGATTAGAAATATAAAGAACAGAGGAGTATGGGAAAGGCAACCTCACTGCTATCTCTACCCACAGATGAGTGATCTTAAGCAAGGCTTCTTATCCTCATTTTTTCAGAGCTCAGTTCCTTTATTTGTAAAACGGACATGATAATAAGCATGGCTAAAGTCACTGTCTCTGGACCAGGAGAAATTTTTATTTCCTGTCCATTTTTAAGACTTACTCTTTTAACACACAACTCTCTCCATTCCCTTAAATTGGCAAATTAACAGAGAGCTACTGGGAAGAAAGGGATTGATAAAATATTTCCACTCCCTTGATTATGCTTCTCAAAATCACATCTTGTATTAGAGTTCTGTTGCTGCATAAAAAAAAATCACTTCAAACAATTGCCACACATTTTTTACCTGTAATTAATGTATTCTTTATTCCATAGGTCAGGAGTTTGGATGGAATTGCCTGGATTTTCTGCTCACAATGCTGAAATCAGGTTGTCAGCCAGGCCGAGCACTTTTCTGGAGGATTTGGTAAAGAATCTGTTTACAAGTTCATTCACATTATTAGCAGGATCTCATTCCTTGCAGTTATAGGATTAATGTCTCTGTTTCCTGGCTGTCAGCCAGGGGTCATTTTCAGCTCCTACAGGCTGGTCTCAAGCCTTTTTCAACTGTCTCCCTCCATCCTCAAAGCCTGTTATGGCATGTCCACTCCCTGTGCTTTGAATCTCTCTGGCCTCCCATTCTGCAATCAGCCAGAAAGAACTTTCTGCTTACAGTGTTTATGTTATCAGATTAAGTCTACTTGAATGATCCCCCTTTTGATTAACTCAGAGCCAACTTATTAGTAGCTGAATTATATCTGTCAAATCCATTTGCTATGTAGCATTAATGTAATCCTGCTCATGCTATCTCATCATAGTCCCAGGTTTTAGGGTGGGAAATCTTGGAGTACCATCTTTAGAATCCTGTATATTACACTTCCCACATAAGGTACCTGTACCCAAATCCTTGCCTCAGGCTCTTCTTTCAGAGTGACCCAAAATAAGATTCCCATAAATAACAAGTGACTGATTTTTTAAATTCTAGTTGAACTTTCTGCCATTCCAGTTAAATTGAAGATTTTAGAGTTTTCAAATTTAGTTGTCATTTTCATGACTGGAAACTTATAAGACAAGTAACTATAAATGTTATTTGAACCCAACTAAGGCTGACAGCTCTTTGCCTTCTGATCTCTAGTTGTACAAAACACCCTACTTCATATTTTATATTTTTCCAGTCTAGTAGATGAATCGCATGTTTCTCACTTACTTTTCACAACAAGCCTGAGAAACCTTATTACCCTTAGTTTATACACAGAAACTGGGACTCAGTTTCAGAAGCTTTTTCAAGGCCACACAACTAGTCATAACAGAAACTGGGGGAAAATACAGGTCTGTCTGATGTCAGAGGACTGCTGTTTCTATTTTACTTTGCCTATCTTCACAGTCAAACAAATAAGCAGGTAATCTGAAAGAATGAGATTTTGCATAGCCCTAGATAGAGACTTATTAAATGATTGAGTTGGAGAAAATAATGACATTTAACATAGATTGGCTTTATAGAAATTAGAGCACAGAGAACGGATTCCAGGGCATAGCACTGGTTTTATCTCATAGGCCTCCTCCTTCTAAAATATTTTAAAACTCCACAGAACAAAAACATAGTCCTATTAGTTTCCAGGGTTGTATTTCAACAAAATAGTTTATTAAACAGTAATCCGTTTTTTTTTAGAATAAAAATAACATCTTCAGATTTATGAATAAATATTTCCCTTGATATATTTCTTTCTAGAAAATTTTACATGCTGGTCTTTTTGAAGGTAATTTAGAAAGTATTGCCTATACAAAAGTGAAAGCAAAGTCTTTGAAATTTGAGTGACTTCTGTAATGGCGTAAGAACCTCAGCTACCAGAGACCAGAGCACTTCTTTTATAAAAGAACTTCTCTAAACAGCAGAAAATAGATTCAATTTGAAAATTAATTGTTGTTGCTTTGGAAATTGTTCTTGCTTGGTAAACTTTTATTTTCTATATGAGGCTTATTATCCTCTAAAGGATCAAGGTTATCCTTGAGAAGACTGGGTTGTTCTCTAAACCTCAAAGAAATCAAGAGAGAGAGAGGGAGAAGGAAAGAAGGAAATTATTTCTTATGAGTAAAGCAGAACCATGGATCACTTAGTTTAAAACTGTGATGGTTTTAATTTTATTGTTATTTTTGTTCTGGGAGTAGGTATTTGTATAAATAAGAAGACAATAGATATACATAGTGTGCTCAGATGATTATGATACTATTTCAGGTATTATGGTAGAAATGAAACACCTTAACTCATTATCCTCACTTATTCTTACAGAGAAGGAGAATGTGAGTGGCTCATTTGCAGCGCCAGTGCCATCGGAGATGTGACTGTAGGCCACCTGGTGAACTCTGCAGGATCTGAAGGCTCAGGCATTGGAGTTTGCACACAAAAAGCAGGACAGGGACCAACACAGAGAACACAGACCCATGTCTCTAGTTTTTCTTCAGCTCAGACACGTTTTCTTTTTGGATGTTCTCTATGCCCTGTTAGCACTGACATTGTGTAGTTAGTTCTTCAGCATTTGATTCATTTTCTAACTATCTATTCCCTTCTCTCTTGAGGTTTCTAGCTAATTCAACCAGAGTTGAAATAATCTAAAACATCGCTTGCTACTCAAAGAGCGGCCCATGTGAAATCAGGATGTCACCAAGTAGCTTGTTCAAAATATAAGGCCTACCCCAGACCTGCTGATTCAGAATCTGTGTTTCAATGTTACCAAATGATTTATTTGCACATTGAAATTTTGAAATGCTCATATCAGAGAACAAGGTATTTGTAAAATCACCTTTCACTGAATTTGTCAAAGTTCTCAAAATAAAATAAGCCTCAATAATTTCTCCAAAGGCATGAAAATTTGATTTAATAGATTTATAAATACAGAACATTTTGAGAGGTAACAGAGAAGAGCCTTGCTTTCCTTCCTAATCAACTTGCTTTTTGCACCTGCCTTACTTTTGTGACCATGGAGATTCCTACTGAGGGCAATTTTAGGGCAAAATTTTGAGACAACCAATGCCTGAAGTCACTGTAAGTAATCAATTTTATAAATAAGAAGTATTTTATAATTATCATGTCTAAAGGTATTTGTCAGATCATTTATTTTATTGTAACTGAATATTGTTAGCAAGTAAAAATAGTCTAAAGTGATGAGTGTTATTTTATTAGTAATAAGAAAAAATGGGTAAGAGGTTAAATACACCTAAGTTGCATACTTTTTCAAAAAACAAATAGTCTAATACCTATTTTCTTCACATATGTTTCAGATGTCCAGGTCAGATCTGCACTCATCACACTGGTCTCTGCATCTTTGTAGAACCAACATGACAATAGACTAAATATGGCCATGAATGTAAGATGCTGAAATTGCCACCTGATCAAATCCCTTAAAAGGGAGCATGAGTAGATTTATACTCAAGAGTGTACTTTTGCAGGAATTGAGGTCAGCAGCTCTCTATAGCAAAAGGGGTCCATATTCCTGCAAGGTAGGCAATGTGACATAGGGAAAGTTAGGCAGGAGTTCTAGAGCTCTCCTCCCACCTAAATGCATGACCTTACAGCCCTAAGTATTGGGTTTTCATTGCCACATGCAACATGAGAAGTATTAACTGCTTGCATAGCTCTCAGGACAAACCTTATAATAGCTCAACAGCTAATGTATTGCACATTTTAAATAAAATTCTGATCTGACATTGAAAGTGTGTGGAAAATTCCCAGTTTTCAATATTTGTGTGAATTTCGAAATTCCAAGCCATTGTGAAAATGTGTTTTACAACCTTCCAATGTCTATCCAATCAGGACAAATAGCAACCCATGTGAATTGAGTAACAGAAAGACTTATTTTAAAATAGAAAAATCTTGCCCCATAGAACTTGTGTCACTATGAAAACTGAGAATTATCAAAGAGCAATTACTTATAGTTGCTCAAGAGTGTTAGGAGGTTAAATAAAAGGGGCAAATTGATATGCAGTTCTCCTCTAAAACATAAAACAAAATTAGCAGCCATATAAAGCCAGGAAATCCTAAAACAGGTATGTAAAGTAAATGTCTACCAGAGTAAAATGCTACAAAATATGAAAATGTAGAAATTAAATTCTATAGGAGACAAGGAAATCAGAGAATTGCCTAGCCCAGTGTGTACTTAGATTTGATATCACATATTTAATTCACACTGTGAGAAGTGACAGCATATCATAAAGATGAATTTACCAATTTGTTGATAAGATGTTTTGTATTGTGTTGCATAATTTTTAAAAGTGTTCACACATAGTCTTATTTAAGACTTAGCAGAACTCTAAGGGAATAAGAGAACTAGAAAAACCTTATCTCATTTAGACACCTGTCCCTACCTCCCACCCCAGATGCCAATGGGAATGGCCTACGTAAACCAACGATCAAATCCTACAGGTTACATTACATACCTTGTGTATGTGTAAGGCCACCTTTTTCACTTCCATCCCTGGACCTGAACGAAGTGACATACAATCTACAAATCAAAAGCTGTGTCACTTGCAAATAGCTAGAGATAAATGGAAAAAACCAGGTCTCTAACACCAGAAAGGTGCACTTCTAACCATGAGATGTAGTAGATCCTGACCAGTGTGCACTTACGTGAAATGAAAATCATGGAGGGTTTTAGTAAGAACTACCACATCTATGCATTCAGTCAACATTTATTGAGGCCAAAGGGACATCGCCAAATGCATAGAAGACCTCAGCCTCTGTCCCCTAACAAAAGCCAACAATTAGACAGCTATCCACGAACAAAAACTTTTCTGGGAGAGCTCTGAAGTCCTTACAAGAAACTTCAGCAACACAGTAGAATTTTAAAGAAACGCTTGAGAATAACCACACAAAAAGAGAAAAGAAAACAGCTTCATTTTCCCTGCATCTTCCCATCTCCCGAACTGGCATTGCTCACTGCCAAGAAGGAATTCCCAGCTACAGTTTCCCATACTAAGAAAAAAGAGTGGAGTGAGCCACCAGATTTCCTAGCCTTTGGGGGCACTGCATGAAGGTCCTGCTTCAATTTCCCCCTAACCAAGACTGGCAAAGCTGAAATTCTAGAGATATTAAATGCATATCTCTATAGAGGAACAATGAAGAACAGCAGGTGCAGTTGATAGCAGCCATGCATGGGAGTGATTAAGGTTCACAGTGAACTGCCCTACAGACGAACACAGCAGCTTTCATCAATGAAGGTGAAACCAATAGCCTGCACAGCCCTCCCCTGCTGACTTCACCAGCTTTACCCCAGGTATTCACATTCACTGACTCCAACCACCTGAGTACCTCCCTACTCTTTCTCCCAATCCTCCAGAGCCCGGGAATGGCACCAGCCACTAGCACATGCCTTTGCATCTGCATAAGTGCAGGATGTCAGCGCAGACTCCTTTAGTTGTCCCTTGCAACTGTGGGTGTGCTTAGGTCCAGCCCCTCTAGTTGTGAACCTGCATGTTACTGTTCTGACACCTATCACCAGCTTTCACTGTGTGTGCATGCCCAGGAAAGACTATGCAGCCATGGCTGACACCACTGTTGTGGGCCCACATAAGGCCCTGTCTTCTGTCACTGGCTGCATCACTGTGATCCTTTTTGGTTAGCTCCTGCAGCTGAGTCCCTACATGCCACCAGCCTAACCACCTCACCCTGCTGCAGTGCATTGCACCTGGAGCAAGACCCAGCAGCACTGTAGGATATACCAGAAGCAACATAGTAGGTACCAACAGCCAGGGCCTCCAAACTACTAATGTCCCAGCAACTGGCCCCAATAAATACAAGTATGTCTGCAACTGCCCCTTGCCACTACACAGGGACCTGCAGCTGACCCCCTCAGCCAAACGTGTGTACACCACCAGTTCTGCTGCCACCACTGCCTGCAGTAGTCTCCAATCACTGGACCTATAGGCAGAACTGAGGAACCCAGTAGCCCTTGCAGCCACTGTGGACACCTGGTAGCCCTGCCAAGGACCACACAATTGGCAGTATTTTGAACCCACTGGCCTGAGTTGAAGAGACATCATGCTTTTCAACCCCAGTGTCACCACACACCTCTCACTTGGTACCCTGCAACACTAGGCACAGGGGCATAACATGATCCAGAGTGCTCCAAACTACAAGCAGATATCTCCCTTACCAAAATCATCCCTTAAAATCTGGAACAGGTGACTATTTTTTCAAATGTGCACCTACTAAAGGCCATGACTCCACCAAGAAATACTGTAAACATCCACTAAGTGGACCCAGATAGAGAGAAAGGAATTGCCTGACAAGGAATTCAAAATCATTGTTCTCAAGATGCTTACAGAGCTACAAAAAATGAGGAAATCAGTACAAGAGCAATATGAGAAGTTTGACAGAGAGAAGGGAAAAATAAAATAAAAAATGAGCCGAACAGAAATTTTGGAGCTGAAGAATGCAATGACTGAACTGAATCATTCAACAGCAGACTTGACATAATGAAGGAAAGAATCAGTGAACATGAGGACAGATCAACTGAAGTTTTCCAATTAGAGAAGCAGAAAGAGAAAAGAATGATAAAAGTGAAGACTATGTGATCTGTGGTATACCATCAAGAGAACTAATTTGTTCATCAGAGTTCTAGAAAGAGAAGATAAGGAAAAGGGATCAGAAGGCTTATTTAAAGAAATAATGGTGAGAACCTCCCAAATCTGTGGAGAAATTTGAATATGTAAGCTCATAAAGCTCATAGATCACCAAGAAAAATTAACTGAAAGAGATCCTTTCAAAGTGCCTTTATAATACATACTTTATAATAAAACTTCAAAAAACCGACAAGAGAGAATCTTGGAAAGAGCTTAATAATTATAATGGAACCCCCATGAGCCATCAGTGGATTTCTCAGTAGAAACCTTATAGGCCAAGAGAGAGTGAAATGACATATTCATAGCACTAAGGGAAAATATGCCAACGAAGAATACTTTCTGTCAAAGTATACCTTAAGAAATGAAGGAGAGGTAAATATTTTCTCAAACAAAACCTGAAAGAATTCATCACCACTACACCTGCCTTAAAGAAGAAATGCAAGGGGTGTTTCAGGCTGAAATGAAAACACATTAATTAGTACCATGAAAACATTAAAATATACAACACACTGCCAAGGTAAGTATATAGCCAGATTCAGAATACTGTCATACTTGACTATGATGGAGTGTTAGCCATTGAACTCTAATATAAAGGCTATAGGGCAAGAGTATTGATGACTATAGCTACAATTTGTTGATGTATACACAATACAAAAGGAGATAAGTTGTGACATTAAAAACATAAAAATATAGAGTTTTCACTTGCAATGTTATCAGCATAAAATAAACTGTTGGTCTATATGATGTTTAATGTAAGCCTCATCATAATCTCAAAGCAGAAACTATAGTAGATTTGTAACAGATAAAAAGAAAAAGCGTATCAGTATGGAATATTATCAAATAACAAAGAAAGGCATATTATGTAAAAAAAAAAAAGAAAGAAAGGCAGCAAGAGAGGAAGTAAAGAAACAATGGAACTGAAATATAGCCAGAAAATGATTAAGATGGCATTGTGAAGTCCTTACATATGAACAATTACTCTAAATAAAAGTGGATTGTATTCTATAATCAGAAGACACACAGTAGCTGGATGGATAAAACCAAGACCCAAATACATGCTGCCTGCATGAGACTTGCTTCAGTTTTAGGATCATATATATTCCTTTCTGAGCTAGGTTCATCTGGTTTTTGTTTATATTCCATTATTTATCTATTTGAAGTATAGTTGATTTATTATTTTGATTTTAAGTATACAACATAGTGATTCAATAGTTACAAATAGTAAATCCTCACCCCAACTGATGCAGTACCTGTCAACAAAGATGTTCTAGAACCATTGACTATATTCTCTATGCAGCACTTAACATCCTCATGAGTAATTTATAGTATGACTGAGATTATGTACCTCTTTATCACCGTCACCTATTTCACACACCCAACCTCTCCCTCCCTCCTGCATGGTAACCACCAGTCACCCCCACGTCTGTGAGTCTACTGCTGGTTTGTTCGTTTTGTTCTGCTTTGATTTTAGACTCCACATACAAATGCAATCTTACCGTTTTGTCTTTCTTTAACTGCCTTATGTCACTTAATGTAATATCCTGTAGATCCATCCCTGTTTTTACAAATGGCAGGATTTCTTTCTCTTTTATGGCTGAGTAACATTCCACTGTGTATATGTACACACTTTCACTTTATCCATTCATATATTGACGGACACATGGGTTGCTTCAATATCTGGGCTATTGTAAGTAATACAGCAATAAACATAGGAGAGCACATACCTTTTCAAATCATAGATTTCATTTTCTTTGAGTAAATTCCTAGAAATGGAGTTACTGGATTGTATGGCATTTCTATTTTTAGTTTCTTGAGGAACCTCCATACTGTTTTCCATAGTGACTGTACCAATTTACATTCCCACGACAGTGCAGGAGGGTTCCCGCTTCTCCACATCCTCACCAACACTTGTTATCTCTTGTCTTTTGGATAGTGGCCATTCCGACTGTTGTGAGCTCATTGTGGTTTTGATATGCATTTCTCTTATGATTAGCAATGTGGAGCATCTTTTTATGTGCCTGTTAGCCACCTGTATTCTTTGGGAAAATGTCTTCTTGGGTCCTCTGCCCATTTTTTAATCAGGTTATTTATTATTTTGCTGTTGAGACATACGAGTTCTTTATACATTTTTGGATATTAACACTGTATCAGATAAACCATTTACAGATAGATTCTCCCATACTGTAGGTTGCCTTTTTGTTTTGTTGATGGTGTCCTTTGCTGGACAGAAGCTTTTAACTTTGATGCAGTCCCGTTTTTTTTCTTTTTGCTTTTGTTTCCTTTGCTTGGGGAGACATATCCAGAAAAAAATTGCTCATGCTTCTGCTCAAGAGATTTTTGCCTATGTTTTCTTCTCTAAGAGGTTTATAGTTTCATGTCTTATATCTAGGTATTTAATCCATTTAGATTTTACTTTTGTGTATGGAGTTAGACATTAATCCAGTTTCATTCTCTTTCGTGTATCTGTCCAGTTTTTAGCACACCATTTATTGAACAGACTGTCTTTTCCCATTGTATTTTCATGTCTCCTTATTCATATATTAATTGACCATATATGCATGAGCTAATTTCTGGCCTCTCTATTCT